TGAGAACAATATATATTTCGCAGTGTTTATATTTAGTGTTCTATAGATGTCTGTTGAGCCATTTTTATCTCAGATATCATTTAATTTTGTTTACTTTTTAATGAGACGATGTGTCAACTGTTCAGAGGGACTCTTTGTGACTTTATGTCTACTAGTATTTTCTCTGTATAACTAGGTGAACCTGTTATTATCATTGCATTGCCCTCTCCATGCATTATTCCTTTAATCAATACAAAGCAATGTTTATCATTTCTCAACAAATTTTGGTTCAATACTGTTTGAGCATACTAAATCAGAAACATTTGCTTGCTTTCTAGTTCCTTGTGGCTTGAACATTTTGCTTGATTGTGTCATTATAAGGTCCTATCTATCTTTAATGATAACCTACAACAAACATATACTCTCACTTTTTGATGCAATTTACTAGCCTATATCTTTTGGGAAATGAATTAACATTAATATGCAGTTATCATTGAAAGGTATCTATTAATTCCTGCATTTTGATGATTTTGCCAAGGTACACAAGCTTTACTTTTATTCCTTCTTTAACTATTGGTCTAGTTTGGTTAATGGTTTCTCTGATAAAATACTCTTACCAGAAGCAACTTAGGAGCAGGAAGTGCCTATCTGACTTACACTTTCAGGTTAACAATCTACGGACAGGAGAATTGATTACAGTGTCTTGAGAAACAACTGAAGTGAAACCAGTTTACAAATCAGTTTAGTAATTTAATCACTGTCTCACAGTTAGTTTTCTCATACAGACCAGATTCACATGTTTATACTATGGGCCTTATCACCTCAATGATCAATCAAGACAACCACAGGCAAATCTGATGCGAGTCATCTCTTAATTGAGACTCTAATGTGACAGTGGGATGTATCAAGTTGGCTGCTGAAACTAACTCATGCTGTTGTGGTTTTACAGATTTTTTTTTAAATTCTATTTTGTAAAACAGACTTGGTGGCCATTAATTCACTTTGCAAATTGTTAAACATATAAAGTTTCCTTTTAGTTCTCCTTCATTTATGACAAACAGCATTGCTGGGAATAGTACTCCAACTTGTCAGTGGTTTTATTTTTGGAACTTAAAATATAGATGTCAGGCATTCCTGCCTTTGATAATTGTTGATGAGTCTGTTATTCTGAGAGGCCTTCCTTTATATTTGGCTCAGCGATTCTCTCTTACTGATTTCAATGGATTTTCTTAGTTTACATAGTCATGAGAAGGGAGAGAATAAGCATGTAGGCCACTGTGTCTTTGCCTTCACCTAGGTTTTACTTCCATTACACTTCTCAGGATCCCCCTGAGTAAGGAATGTTGTTATCTACAATGTACACCATCCTTCTACAGCATCAATTAACAATCAGGACAATGTTTAAAAGATGTATGCAAGGACAATGTTATCTACATGATTCTTCATTAAGACTGTCTTCTCGGGTATTTATGGCTTGTGTTCAGTTGCCTTCTTCCCTTTTTCCTTTAAAGATATTTTCTTTATTATTATCTGGGTTATATTTGTTCATAGTGTCTGTATGGATACACACATGTCACAGAACATTAGTGAGGAGCTGAGAACAACTTTGTGGAGCTAATTATTTCCTTTTAATTTATGCAGGTTACAGAGACTGAGATCTGATCATGAGGCTCATATGATAAGGACCTTTATACATTGAGCTCTAAAACAATCCCACTATTCCCTTTTGTAAATCAATTTTTTATTTACATTTTTATTTGTGCTAATTTCTGCTTTTCATTGTTCAATAAAGTTGCTCTTATATCTTTCTCTTGAAAATAATACCATTAGGGGATGGAGAGATGGCTCAGTGGTCAATAGAACTTGCTTCTTTTTTAGAGGAGAAGGGAATGTTTCCCAGCAGTCACACTCTGAGTGGGTCACAACTTTCTATTACTCCAGTTTCAGAGTAACTGATATCCTCTTTATTCCTTTGTAAGTATACCCACACATACATGCAATCTCACATAACAATGCATAGGCATATACAAAAATAAAAAATAGAATAAATTCTTATAAATGATTTCACTGATTTTAATGTTCTAGGACTTTCCACTTTCTCCAAATCTCCATGTATATAATTATAAAATGAGGATTCCTTTCATTGATCTTCCTTATAACTGGTTAAAAGATGAATGTTCTTTGAGTTCACTCAATAACTCTATGATCTGTCTTTGTATGAAATATCTTTAAATATATCTTTTAATTCTTTGTTACTTACATACATTTTATTTTTATCACATTCATTCCCTTCCCTGATTCCTCTCATATCCTCATCTTATTCCATAAGCATCCAACATTGTATAACCATATTTTAAATATTTATTTTCATTTTATGTTTATATGCCTTTTATCTCTGTGTATGTATGTGAACCACAATGCATGCATTACCCACAGTGGTCTGAAGGACATCAAAAGATCTTCTGGAACTGTAATCAAAGAAGATCGTGAGTCACCATGTTGGTACTCATAACTGAACCAAGGTCTTCTGTGGGAGCAGCAAGTGCTCTTAATTACTGAGCCATCTCTCCAGTCCTATCACTTTTAAAAACCATCCATTCCAATTAATGCTGCCTATGCGTTTTTTGGTATATGAATATCCACTGTAGTTGGATAACCACTCATAAAGTAAACTGACTCTCTTCAGGAAGCTGTCAATCACTTGTAGTTCCTCAAAGGTGGCACATCATGAGCAACCTCTTGCTCCATGGAGGGACATGGTCTGGCTTAAACTTGGACATTTCTGGCACATAACGTCACAACTACTGAGTTCATATATCCAACTGCCATGAAGTGTCCAGAAAACACTGTTTTATTAATGTCGTCCACCACCTCTGTCTCTAAAATATGTACCATCCCCATCCAAAATGATCCCTGAAAATTGAAGAAGAAGATTTAAGATATAGAAGCCCCATTTAGTGCACACCACTCCAAAGTCTCTTATTGTCTGTATCTTTAAGGTCTGTGGGTCTTTGAATTTATCTCTGTTCACTACATAGATAAACTTTTCTGATGGTGGATGAGAGTTGAATTAAACTATAATGAAAACTCATTATGAGTTGGTTTCTGAAGTTATTTTTTTTAACAAGGCGTTCTTGGAATAAATAGGTTTTAGATATTGGAATTGGTGTCCTTCAGAAGTAAAGGGATTTAGCATCATATATTTGCTTCCTATTCCTAAATTATTTTCTTTTATGATTTCAGTGTGAAATGACTTAGATATTGCTATGTCATTTGTTTATTCTTGATTTATTTTTCATAATTTTTGTGTTTGAATGTAATGTATCATTTACTACTAGATTTGGCAGTATGCACTCCAATGCACTAAACATTCTCCAATATTTCCATACCATAACTTATTTTTTTCAAAAAAGAATACAATCCACTGAGGCTAATTTGTGATGCCCATATGTGCATAGGTGTAGGACTATTGAGGTAAGCATGAGATACCTTACAATAGTCCTATACCAAAAAAGGTGTAGGAGTCATTCTCATCTATTAAACATCAACTGCAAACAGATGTTCAATCAGGAGTGGGCCTTTGGGACACCCTCACCCATACATCTTGTAATATTAACAGGCTTTATGTTACGCAGTTTTTCTGTAGGCAACCATTGATGATATGAGTAAATTTGCATAACAGTCAACTCACGTTCAGAGGACAATATTCACAGAGGACAATTTCAAAAAGCACTCCACTTCATTATCTAGCATTTACCTTCTTCCTGTTCTACAATATTTCCTGATTCTTGAGTAGGGAATGATAGAAACCACATCAATGACTGAGCCCTCACAATTATGCTTCACATTTTGATCACTTATGAGTCTCTGCGTTAACTAATGCCAGCTCCAAAAAATAATCTCTAACAAAGGTAAAGAACAGCACAAATCCATGGATATAAATACAAATATTTAGAAGGTAGTTTGACAACATGACAATTTAGTAAAATGACAGTAGGGACCATAGTTAGAACTATGACATCTGCAGCCATGGTTTCATGACCAGGTTTAAAGTACCAGGTATGAATTCCCTCCCAAGGATCAAGCCTCAAATCCAATCAGACATCATTTAAGTTACCCCACAACAAGCTATTATTGCATTAGTATGCACATCTGACCTGGTACATCCGTATTGTAGCATGTGAGATCATTGCAGGATAAGAGTATTATGGGCAAAATCAGGGACTGAATATTGAAAAATAAGAAATGAAAAGGATACCCCCATAGGGAATTGCAGACATCGGTATGCTGAGTAGAGAGATTCAGTTCAAATTCCTCTGCCTCTTGTCTTCCTCACTTAGCAGTGTCCTATATATTTCTCATAATCAACAAATCTTCCTCCAATAAATATGCTAAGGTGATTATAAAATCTCACAAGCTCTCTCTCTCTCTCTCTCTCTCTCTCTCTCTCTCTCTCTCTCATGCACACACACACACACACACACACACACATACACACACACTCGTGACCTATTCCCCTCATTCACTTTGTTGGTATAATTATTACTGATCTCATATAGCCTTAATTCATACCTCCATTAGATTTCAGCCAATTGGTTGCTCTATTGATGGGAATCTTTCTTTCCAACACCATATAAAATACTATTCTCTCATCTGTGTCATCAAATCTTTCTGTCTTCCAAGTATACCTCACCAGAAGGCAGGTATTTACAGGAATCCCCTCTAGATTCCTGTATTTTTGTGAAAAATTCCCCCAGGACATATTCCTCTCCTTGCAACTTGCCAGTAGGATATCTCCTCATGGCCTCCATGGTAAGTCTATGTGATAATGAGTTTGATAATGAACTTGATTTTATCAGCTATTTACATGTGTATTTGCCTCAAACATCATGTTTAATGCTAAAAATAGTTAAATTTTTCTTAGTGAAGCTTTCTGTTGCTGCCTTCAGAGAAGTGAAGAAAGTCAAGCAGACCCTGTGTTAAAGATATGCAATTGACACTTTACTTCTACCTGCACACAGTGTTATATGGATCATGGTTTGAACACATCCGTGGCTGGCTGTCCATGAGAGAAGGGGACAACTTCCTGGTACTGTACTATGAAGAGATGCAAAAGGTGAGTATCAGTCTTACAATCGTCAACAGTAAAAAACTAGACCCTAATAATGAATAAGGTTACTGCAAACTGTGATTTGTTTGTTTATTCTGACATTAGAAATATTTCTTATTAACTAAAAAACATTTAAATATAAGTGCATTATGATCATATTCACCCTCTCCCTGAGGACATCCAGATTGTCTATGCCTCCTTACTCACAAAACTCTAAAGTTTTTCCTCAAAAAAATGTAGTACAACAAGTCTCTCCAATCAAGAAAAGAATATATAATAGAGTGCAATATAGAATAATATGCTGTATAGTTACATGTTAACATGTCACAAGCTAGAATCACCTGAAAGGACTGAACTTTAATTATGAAAATGCCTCCAAAAGATCAGGCTGTAGTCATATCTGTGAGGCATTTTATTAATCATTGATTGAAGGGTGAGGGCCCATCACCTTGTGGGAGCTGCCACCCTTGTGTTCTCTAACAATACCATGGTTAACAAGCGAATAAGCAGCACGTTTCTATTACCTCAGCATCAAATCCAGCCACCAGGGTCCTGTGATATTTAACTTCTTGTCTCGACTTCCTCCAGTGGTTAACAATGCTGTATAAGTGTAAGCCAAATGATGTATGATAAAACAAATCTCTCACATTGAAGTTAGACATCAAACCAACAAAAGAAAGAGTCTTATTGAAAGAATCATGATAAGTAACCTACTCATTCACACATTCAGGAATCTTATGAAAACACTAAACTTGAAACAATGATATAGACACAGAGTATGTGGGACAAACCCAGCCAAGGTCTGTCCATACTGCTGAAGTCTCTGAGCATTCATATCTCTTGGTGCTCTCAAATTCCTCTTACTTTTACAGTCTTGCGTCCTCTTCTTCTGCAGGGTCCCTTGAGCTCTGGAAGGAGGGCTTTGGTAGAGACATCCATTTAGGGTATCTCACTCTTTGTAATGTATGGCTGTAAGTTTCCATATTTGTCCTCCATCTGCTGAAAGAGGAAGTTTCTGTGATAATCTGTAAACAAGGCACAGTTCTATGCATATAGCAGAATATCATTAGGAGTCATTTTACAATTTTTCTTTTCTTTTTTCTTTTTAAGAGCATTATTTGGTTTTGCCATAAGACCTTGGGCTATCTAGTCTTAGGTCCTTGATTACACAAGTAGTTTAGGATACAGACTCCATCTTATAAAATGGGATTTAAGTCAAATCAGTTATTGGTTTATTAGTCACATAAAGCTTTGAGATACTATTGATCTAACTTATCTGGAAAGTAGTACACCACTACAGATAGAAGGAATATATATATATATATATATACATGCATATATATATATATATATATATATATAATTTGTGTATGTGTATATATATGTATAATATATATGTAATATAATATATAATATATGTGTGTATATATATGTATAATATATGTATATGTGTATAGCTTGGTTTTTATATTTCTTTTTGTGGAGCATACAAAGTATCTTTCTGTCCTAAAGAACTATGATGTAAGGGTGGAGGATCTTTGAAGGGACCAGCTTGACATCTTCACATTTAGTAATTTGTATAGGTTTTTTTTTTTTTT